CTCCACCACCTGTTTACCAGCTTGGCCACAGAAGGCTTTGATTGCTATGCCTTCTTTGAAAGATACTTCCAATGTTAGGAAAACCCCACAGGTTGGAAGGCCAACTATTTTCACCCATTGTTTGAGAAGAAGAAAATGGAAAAATCCAAGAATGCCAGGAAATTCAGTCGCACAGCAGCAGAATGTTTATGCATTTCCCCCATGGTGAGGCATTGCATGTGCACCATCATCCAGCCTCAGCAGTTATTTCTTTTTCCATGTCAGAAGTCATAGACCAATGCCATGGTGGTGTGCAATGGAAAGCCACCACAACGCAATCCTTGTTGAGTGCTGTGGAAAAGCCAATGCAGCATTTTTGGCTGCTTGGCCAGAAGAAACCATGATCAAGAAATGGCATTGGCAGTTGCACCTACCAGATGCATTGTCCAGATTTTCCCCTCTTCCAAGCTGCTTCACAGCTGAAAGGAAACACAAAAGCATCTCAGCTTTGGCAACCAAATTGACGAGAACCACCAGTTATGAGAAGCACCTCCTCCAGCAAGTGCTTTCCACTGAAACTTGCACTTTACAGCAGCCAGATCAATTTCCCAAAGTTTGCCACATGTGGAAACCAAAGCTTGCCACCCAACAGGACCAAGTGGCCATGGCACCTTTTTTGCGCCAACCTTGCCTTCAAGCACAAAGTTCGACTGTGGCCATTTTGGCCAGAGGTTCCCAAATTTCCGGTGGAGATGTCATCATTTTTCAGAAGGCAATGACCAGTGGAAAGTTGCACTTGCCATCAAGCATTTCCAGGTATTATGCTTGCAAACCAATTTGGTCCAATTGTGGTCCATACAGACAATGGACCAATACCATGCCAAATGCAAGGTGACAGCCTCCAATGGGCTCATTCCATTGAGCAATATTTTGTTCCCAGTGCCATACAGCAAAAGCAAAGACCAAGTGACTGTGCTGTTGCCATACCAGTGCTACAGTCGAAGATAGCAGGAAAAAACAAATGTGTCTGTGCAGCTGTCTTCTGCAGTCAAACTACCAAAGGCCATGGTGGCTCATCAAAGGCCATGGTGGCTCATCAGAGGCCATGATGGCTCATCAAAGGCCATGATGGCTTCTTCCATCCACCAAGAAATGTTTGCACATGTCAATGCACCACGACAGAAATTTGTGTTTGTGAACGTATTGTTTAATTATGTTTCTTTTCTTTTGGAAAATGCACATTAGTTTATCAAAATTCTTTGTACCAAAATCATTTTGATTCTCTGAAAAACTTAAAGCCATATTGGATTTTGGAGAAACCATTTTTAGTATAACTAGTTAGCTAGAGTTGGCAACTCAATCTAATAATTACATAACTGATCTTAACTAACTTAACTTCTTACAACAAAACAAGGATCTCAAGTGTTTGTTTTTGAACTCCTTTTTTTGGCGTCTGTCTCAAGCTTGCAGGACCTTGTTTTTGCAATGTTGATTTGGCACTGAGGCTCGATGCACATATATAATTCACCTGCATGCTCGTAATTCACTGCGCGCATCATATTTGTCTACTTCAGCATGCCCCTACAAAGCACCATTCCGCGCCTGCCGCCCCTGCTGCTGCCCTTTCAGCGCTACCTGTGTCCAGCGCATGGCTCACACTTTGCAGCAAGCTTCAGTTCTACTTTCACAATTGAGCGCCACCCTTCACCAGGCAGCCGATGTCATCCAACACCTCTACATACTGTTCCCCCAGGGCACCAACCGCCCACGGCAACCATCCTTACTTTTTATCTTCTGACTGCACTCTGACATAGCCAGGCTTTGTCTTGATTGAGTTTGTTTGCGATTTCGTTGCGCATTGCATTCTCCCACCGACTGCCACTCTTTCCCGCAGCCTCTTCAGTGAGGTGCGCCCCGCTTTCCTTCCTGATTTCTACCTACAGCGTGGCCGCCAACGGCAATTCCGAGCGTTCAGCGGCGCCGCTGGTTCGCGAAGGATTGCACCATCCCGCGTCTCCGCGGATTTCAATCTTTCTCATTGCCCTTCAGGCCACCGCAGCCGCGTGCACCATCAGCCACGCGCAACCCAGAACTCTTGTTCATGAGACGCTGGGACTCATGGCTGGTCGACGCCATGCTCCAACATCCCATTCCGCAGGATCCAATACCTGACCAGAATCCCCTCCTCCATACATCCTCCACCGACTCGGCCCCTTGCAGGACCACCTCACGCGAGGCCAGCGACTTCTTCATTACATCATTACATCCCAGGTGGCCCCCGCTCAAACAGCACATCCAATGCGTGGACACTATCGTTTGGATCCAGCCCTTCGATTCCCACCCAACACCACAGACTTCAATGGTCTTTGCCTCATTGCGCTTTCTTTGCAAAGCTTTTGTTGCAATCTTTCAATTGCTTTGTATTGCCAGCCTTTCTTGGCTTCCATATGCAGGCTGTATGCACAGCTTGCTTCTGCAAGCCTTAAAATGGCTTTGTTGCATAAGCTCTTCATGGCTTCATGTTACAAGCTTTCATGTTGCAATGCAAGCCTATATGGCTTTGGTCTTGCAAGCCCTAGTGGCTACCTTTTCACATTGCAAGCCATCATGGCTTTGCCCCTTGCAAGCCCAAGTGTCTACACTTTTTGTATCTCGGCGCAATTATTTAAAATGGTTTCTTCTTATGAATAAACGCGGGCGCCGCAATTGTGGCTCCAAAGAGTGAGACTGAACTGTGTAGTGAACTGAATGGAAGCTGAAGTGAACTGCGTGGAGCAATGGCCAACCCCCTGATCATTGACATCAAGGATGAGAGGCTTGGCACTACATTGCTTTTCTCTGATGGAGAAGAACGCTGGAATCTAGGTCTGGAGTGGAAAAGTTGAATTGTGTTCATGTGAAGTGTTGTCTTCCTCCCGTTGCGTGGGAAAGCTGGTTCCTTGGCCATGTTTTTCACATGTATGAAGTTCGTAGTGTGTACCTTTGGAATCCTTACTGTTTGTTACTTCCTTTCCACCATTTTTGTTTGAGTTTGCAAGTGGACATGGCTATTGTCAAGCCTTCATGGCTAAACAATTGCAAGCCTCAATTGGTGGCGTCAGCCATGCCCATTGCGGCCTTCATTGAATTGCTAGATACATTGATCACCCATGAAGCCTACATGGCTAGTGGCAAGCCTTGACGGATATGCACTGTAGCTTGTAGTCAAAAAAAAGTTTACAAGCCTCAACGGCGGCTAGTATATTCCAAGCCACTGTACTGTGGCTGTACACATTGTAAGCCCACGTGGCTATTGAAACGCAAGCCTGATTGACTAGTTGGCTATTTACAAGCCAGAACGGCTAACTGACTAAGTGATTGCAAGTTGTTTGTTGACCGATCAACTTGCAAGCGCTAGTTTCTTGATACTGTGTAAGCCCAAGGGGCTAGTTGCGGTTGCTGCAAATCATCAGCTGTAATGGCTGCAAGTCTGAGTGACTATGCAATTGCAAATTGTTCTGTATTTTGATTGCTATTGCACGGTTTGTTACAGTATATATGTTTCTTCAAACTCATTTTGCCTAATTGAAATCTAGCCAGTTGTGGCTTTCCACATTGTATTTACTAAATCTAAAAACTTGATTCTGTGTGTAGAATATCATTTCAACTGATAGATTGTGACTATGTGCACAGATTCAAAATCTGAATCTAGACCGTGTGACTCAGTGCCTAGATTTCTGAACCTAGGCACTGTAGCCAATTTTCAATTAAAAATATCATAATTAGGTTCTAACAATTGAAATCAGTAAATATGAACAATAATCATATTGAAAAATATTGAAGCCTTTTACTATTCAATTCTATCTTTTTTAATACATTTCATTTTTTCAATACTGCTTACTATAAATAGATGCAAACAATAGCACATCAACATCTAATCATTTCTAAGGTTACACTTGAAATTTGAGAACTTGTTATATACTCAAGAGCAGACAGCTGGCTCTGAAGGTCGCTGTGCGATTTCAAAGACTGCCTCAATTCCAAACGAAGGCTTTCTGTCTGACGATTCTGATGCTCAACATGGTTGTTCAACGATTCGATGGTTGCCATGCACTTTTCAATGGCATGCTCGCTTCGGATTCGTGCGTCTAGCATTTGACAATATTTGACTCTCATACTGCTGCTTCATGGACCTGAGTTCGGACGCGGAAGCCTCGGCATAAGCCTCATATCCCGTATGTGTTGATTCAACAAAAGAGCTAGCTTATTGCTTAACGACCGCATTCTGCGCATTCTCATGAAACATCTGTTCAGCCTCATTCATGAACTTAAAAGACTCTAAGACCCTGCGCTTTCAGTTTGTCACGCTGTTGGAGTTGTTCACTTGGAAGATCTATGGCACGCCGATGTCTTTCTTCGGCAACTGCCTCAATCAGCCTGGCATCGGTCGTTGGGGCTTGGTGAACATGCAGGTGCTAGTTCAAAACGTTCATCTGATTATGGTTGTTGACCGGCACAGCGTTCCCGCTTGCACTTGCATCAGGTGGGGCGTACAGGGCAATGTCAGGCCATAATGGCGTGTCCAAAAGACCAGCCCCAACCAGAACAAGTGCATCCGGGCTAGCATACTCAGGCGTTTCCTCTCGTGTGGACATTTGATCCGGTCCGAAGACAAATCGATAATGGCCGGGGTCCCAAAGCCTGCCATGGCGTAGGCACACGAGGAACAAACAGCAACAAAGGGCAAGAAAAGAGTCCTACGGCTGATAACCTATTTCAAAGGTGACAGCCTCAAACGTACACCCCTTTTCTTGAGCCAAAGCACGTGCGTATATGGTCTTATGTACAAGTACAAGCTGTGAAAAAAAATATTCAAATATATTGAACATACGGCGACAAATGCGTTGCAATGCATGGAGATGTTGCAAATGTATACCTTCTTGTGATTTTTTCCTCAAGTGCTTCTGCTGCCTCCAAAAAATCATGCCAGTTCTGATTCCCTTCCATTATTTACTGTAATGCTATAAAATGCTATATTATAAGCGCTACTGGGACATACATAGGCAAGCTTCTTGGCCGGTGTTAGCTGTGTGATGGCTGATGACTCACAGCACCTCCGCACGTTTCTCTCTGTGGTTTCATCTTGTCACAACTTGACCAGCCTCTAGCTTGGCAAAGCGGTTCAGCAACGCAGGCTCGTAGCGAGCTGCACGCTCCCTCGTGACCACAAGTACTGCCTTGAATTGATCAGCCACTGCACACCGTGGATTGCAGAAGCCTTCCCGAGCAATTCGGCAATACCGTTGACTGTTGGGGCCACTGGCACGGCTGTAGTTGGAGTTGAAGACATCGTACAAGGCTGCGTAGATGATATCCAAGTTTTGAAGTACGAGAAGCCGCCTTTCCTGAGCCATACTGACGATTGCAGCTTGGATCATAGACTGAGCATACATGTCAGTGCTCGCCTGATCTTGCTCGAGCGGGCTTCCGACCAAGCTCTCAGGATTCCAATTCGCTATTTGACGAGCACGATGCTGAATCCAAGCAATCACAGGCCCAGGAGAATCAGTGATCACCATGATATGGCGACCATCCACATCGCCAAGCAGACTATCCAAACGATTCGACACTTGGAGTACCTCTGGGTAGATTTGCTCAAGAGCTGATATCGACTGGTAGGAGTCCTGCTTCTCTTCCTGGCTGAGGCTGTGAAGCATCTTGTGAAGCGCACCTGAAGAGTGGTTGCCGCTCACATTGTTGAGGACGGCCATCTTCAAAGCCCAATCGGCAGGAACGAACTGCAATTCCCTCTCCCTGCACAGCTTGACCAGTTGTACAGCTTCCTTGCGCAAAGCGTGGGAGACCGCATGCATCAAAGCTCCTTGCTTCACCTCCTCGGAGCCGAAACCCATCTCCACATCTGCAGCCAGCAACAGGCGTGCTGCAAACGAGCACATGCCATACCAATCACGGAGGCCGTGAAAGTCTTGAGGCTCCTGGTTCTTTAGAATCTCCATGAAAGCAGTTGCCATATGGCCCAAACTGGCTTCCAATTGGCCCCGGATCTGGCTTTCGTGCGCCAAGTAGGCCCGAATGATCGCCAAAGCTGTTTGGCTCAAGTCTGATTCTGATGGTGGTGGGCATGCCAACAACAAACCACGACTCAACTTGCTTCGATCAAGCTCCCAATTGCTGATGGCAATCACCGATACTGCATCTTGAGCCCGTCGTGGCTCCAAGCGTGCGTGGAGCACCTTGAGCGGATTGTGAGGGCTCTGCTCCGCTAGTCCAACTTCATCCAGCAAAACCAAGGCCAATGGCCGTGTTCTTCGATTCAGAGTCCGGAGCTTCTTCTGTCTGGCCAGTGCTCGCTCAAACACCGCGAGCAAGGAACTCGAAGTTGACTGGCGACTGCCCTGGTATGGCTGGACACTGAAGCTCGCCAAGTGCAGCAGCTGGTCTTTGTAGGGGTCGGCCAAGGCACTGATCAAAAGAGACACCGTCAAGGACTTTGAGCAACCAGGCTTCCCTAGGATGAAAATGGGCGTGCGGGTCATGGAGCAGATCAATGTAGCATAAATGTTCTCTCTCAATGCACGAATTTTTGCAATATTGTCCGCCACATCAATGGCCTCCAACCAGTAGTCCTGCTCTTGCTCTACTATTCCCCTCCAGGTCTCGATACGCTCAAGCTCATCGCTGCAAGTCTCTGGGAAGTACTTCTGGAAGAGGGAACCCAAGTTGGATCCATCAAAAAGAGTTGCCAGCAACTCGTTCCGCTTCTCCAGATCAGGAAGTCTGATTTCGTAGGCCAAATGGATCGCCAACACCAAGGACTTCACTTCTCCTTTGGAAGCATCTGATGACAAGTGACGGGTCAGGGAGCCCTTAGGCATATTCAGCTTCTCTCTCTGTTTCAATTCCCAGCGAATAAACCCCCAAAGCTTCAACAAACGATTTGGGTCCCGCAACGAGACGCAAGAGCCAAAATCCCGGAAGAACTTGTGGATTATGCATACATATCGAGCCGCATGATCGCACATTGATTTGGTCAATGGATCTGGTATAAGCCATTGGTCGTCAGGATTTAGGAGCTGTGGGTGTTGAGATGCCATCTCTTTGACGTACTGCTGCTCAGTGTCAAGGTCCAGCTGGCCAAACGAGGATAGGTGTGTGAACAAGCTTTCTGGCAAGGGATGCACTCGATATGCAAGGCCAGCCAGGCGATCATCTTGGGCGACTGGGCTTTCAAACCCCGCGCACACCACGCTACCTTGGCTTGCACGGCGCCAAGGATTACAAGCGGCGACGAATCGCAAGCCCTTGTGAATGGGCTGGTTGGTGCTCGGGTTGACGCGGTCGACCAGGATTTGCTTGAAAAGCGGCTGGTGCGGGCACGTATTCAATTCATCCCAGAATTGGACCACCATATGCTCAGTTCCACCATCCTTCTTTGATTCCTCCTTCTTCCGAGCAAGCTCCTCCGCTCTGCTGAGCGCTTCCAAAATGTCAGCTTCCGTGGTGCCAGCGTGCACTTGCTGCTCATCCAGCTCACTAGCACCCAACAAGCGGGTGGTGAGCCGCAGCAGTACCTCTGGCTTCAGTTCCGAGTCCAACTCCAAGAATACAAAGCCCGCAAAAAAATGTTGCGGCGCTCACTTCACCCTCTTAGAATCAACACTGACAAAAGCTGGCAGCTACAAGCAAACTGTTGGATCATGCAATTGCAAGTGCCTGTTGAAGGCATCTGGTACAGAACATTTCGTGTCCACATAACATTATCACCTGCCTAGAACCAGCATCAAATGCAGCCTGGCGGCTGTTTTTCCACAACCAGCTTCACCCATGAGGATGCAAGGCAGGTGAGCACGAAGCCGCTCAGCTACATCAACCAGCTTAATCATATTGTCTTGTGTGAGCACGAAGCCACGAAAAGCATCTTCCAACTCCTTGGCATGTGCAACGAAAGAGTGCCAAGGAATCTTTTGCTGTGTCGAAGAAGTGCAAGCATTGTGTCTTCAGGTACCCTACCTAACTCTCCAAAAAGCAGCTCTATTTAAGCGAGTAAAACGGAGAAAAAAAGTGATGTAGCAAAAGTGTTGAAAGCGTTAGGAGAAACACTGGCTTTGCCAACTGCATAAAGCTATAAAAACAACAACAAACGACAGAGAAGGTAAAAGACAATGCAAAAGTCACCAAAATCATTGTGTATCATTATGTCATTACATCCCTTGCTTGCAGCAAACAGCTCCAAATGCCCTTGGTTGTTTGAGACCTTGCTACTTCTACTTGGAGCAATTTGGAATACAGTATATATCTGCATAGCTCCTTGGAACACTGCGCATCTGCGCACTTTGAAACTCTCTGCTCTCTCTCTCTCTCTCTCTCGCTCATTCACTCACTTGCTCACTCACTCCCTCCCTCCCTCCCTCTCTTTCTCTCTCTTTCTTGACACCTTTGCTCGGAAACCTTGGGCTGAATTGGGAAACCTACGCTAGAGGCTTGGTATGCAATATCTATAGTTACTAGTTTGGGCGGGATGGACACAAACCAGAATCCTGACACAAGATGAGCTTCTTTGTCAGTAAGATTGTGGCCTCTCATCACATCAAGCAACAGTTCTCGCAGTTCAAGTTGTTCTGCATTGCCTAAGTTGATGGGTGGAGGCACAATTGGCTCACGCGTATATCTGCGGACAATGTCCCACAAATGCTGTAAAGCACTCGGCAACTCCGTTCTGTTGCCAATGAAGCGCAGCGAACCACCCGTGTTGAAGGCCCAAACACGCGAAGCGCTGGTGCGAGGATCAAGCACTCGGCAAGCCATAGCCTCGGACAAGGACGCTGCTTCATCATTCTCAGCGACGGTCCTCTCTCTCTGCTCCATTTGCGCTTCCGCTGCTGAGGAACGCAAACACATCGCTGCCGCCATGGGGATCATTTCCTTCAACACCTGCAAGAATGTGCCAGGGATGTTGACTCCCCGCTCACCATGGAAAGCCTGCTCATAATGGTGCAGGTGTAATGCCCAGTTCCTGGTCCAGTGCGCCAAAAACCGCAGGAAGGACATTATGGTAGCTTTCGATGGCACTGGAGGATCCCTGTCTGCTTTTGCCCCGACACCATGGAGCCAGGCTTCTTGCAAAGCCAGCTTAGCCGCTTCATCCACGTCAACTGAGTATCGCTGCAGTAAGTTGGCATGATCTCCCGCAAGCACCAATTCTGCAGCGGGAACAGAACAAATTAACAAAACTACTCCACTGCTTTATGCTGCTTCAATCAATGGGTGAAAGCTTTGAAAGTGTTCTGAACATGTTTGATTCTAAGCTGTGAGTTGGACTGTGAAGGATTTTCTTGCCTCTAATGCACAGCAACTACCAAGCAAATTACTGTAAAACTTAAGCGGTGGAGAGATGGAAGGTATGTAGGTATGTAGTCGCGGACGAAAAACTAGCTAGTTTCAGTGCATGCTCGCCGAACGACAAGCAGTAAATGACAAGCACACCAGCAGACCAGCAAGCCACCACCGGGGGAGGATTTGTTCTAGAGCAAAGTGTGAACTCAGGCGTGACCTGAAGCTACCTTTGCGAACTGAAAAGGCCTGCTGGTTTGGGGAAATATCAAGGCCCCCCGCCTTGCCCCTGTGAGCTTGCCACCAATTTGAAGACGGCATCATCTTCACATCCGACCAGGTGAGGTCTATCATCGTTCAGGAACAAGGCTGCACCAGCCAGAGCGAAGTCTTGCGCAATAGAAGACGCCACTTCTGGGTGAAGATCGTTGCCGTCAAACAAGAATGGAGAGTCTGCATGGATCTCATTCTGGCCGGGGACACCTTCTAGAATGGGAGCTGAGAGCAACATGAGCTGAGCAGGACGCTGCCCTTGCTTGATCTTGATGGAATTGGCGACTTCCACGAAGAGTGGCGTTTCCACAGCCAAGCGTGTCCACTCAGACCTCTCGGGATCAAAGACACAGCGGAAGAGAAGAAGCTCCATCAGCAGCATGTCTGCATCTACCCCACCACCTTCTTCAAATCCATGTAACTCTAAATGGACGGAGCCAGCACCCTCGGCCTTCCTTAAGGCTCTTGCTGCTTGCCCACGTGTCTGGGCACCGCCCCAAATAACTGAGACATGAGAGTCTGGGTCCCATTTCTCAGATCTACGAATGGCATGCGTCTTGCCATCTCCCGCATACTCCGAGGTCACAACTTGATGCCATCCCAAAGCTGTTCGACCTTCAGCCTTTCTCTCCTCTCCCGCCTCTTTCAAGAAGGCCTTTATGCTAGAAAGCTTCAAGACATTGATCTGCTGCTGCTTGCATAAGTCCTTCTCCAAGGTTTCGATAAGCATCTTTGAGGCCCGCGCTGTCAGTGTGAAAGCCAGGCGCACTTCAATCTCAGCGGTGCTGTCGGCTTCCTTGCGCCTGCCGACCGCCGCTTGCATGGCATCCACCCTGCACAGGAGCTCCTGCAGTACATCCGGCTGTAAGCAATCCACATGAACGCAAACGCCGAGAACCTGGGATTGGCGAGAAGTGTCCATAGCAAGGCGGGTAGCATGAGTAACTCGGTGCAGAAACCTCAGGATGTCATCCTTGGTGGTGCTGGAGTCACACAGCAAGAGATTTTCGGCGCTGGGTCCGATTCCTAAAGGCAACAGCAGCGACAGTACTGTGGTGGTGGCTGTGCTTTGCAAGGCCAAATTGCCAGATTCGTGGGACAATTCTTCCTGAATCAATAGAACCCGCTTCGGGTAGAATTTGGGGTTCTGCCGGCGCTCCATCCTGCTTCTTGTGGTTGTATCATCACAAGCGCGCTTCTTTGGATAGTTTCGAGCAACCTCATGCAAGGGCAAGAATCTTGTCATCGTGTTCTCTGGAATGACCTGTGCCGTCAATACTTCCACAAGCTTATCCATAAATCGTTCATGTGCCCGTTCTCTGGGCTCAAGAAATTTGCACTTCTCTAGGGCATACTCCAACTCTTGATCTTTGTGAAAGCTGGTCCCGGTCTGGAAATGAAGGGACATTAGTGGGGCCACTGCACGAGTCTCATTTTGCAAGACTGCACGGGCAAGCTTTGTGATGTTCCTGGCAGGGATGGCGCTCATGATTGCATGTCTGGCACGGGCTTGATCCAGGGCATTGCACCATTGCTGCATGGCACCTTGGGCCCATCGCAACGTGTCCTTGAGGTCTTGCAATGTTGAAGCTGACAAGCCCTCTCCCTGACGTGGAAATCGCAATTGTCCGGCATCTTCCAAATAAGGGTGTCCAATCTGAAGAAGTTCCGTCAGCTCCTGCCGCAAACCAAGAATGCCCTCAACGCATCCTGTGAAGATCTGCACTTTCTCTTGAGTCAAGGCGGTGGGATTGTCGGCATCGGCAGTGCCTTTTGGCACGGCCAAGCTTGCTTTGTCGGAGCACTCGGTGAGTTGCTGGACATCTCTTGAAACAGGATCCTTGCTGAACTCAAAAACACCTACAACCTCGAAGTGTGTTCCATCCGCGCTGGGAGTCAGCTCCAAGTGTCCTGCGCTCACCATTCCATGAACTGTATTGCTGACAGCTGTGGCATCGTCGGAATTCTCCTCCAGCTTTTGCTGTAGGACCTGGCCCTGCCGTAGTGCTGATCTCAAGCTATCTGAGAAGTCACGCAAGTTGCTTCTATGATTCGCGTGCGCCTCTTGAAGCATGTTGAGCATCAAGTCTCCAATGGCAGCCTCGCACCACGCACCAAGCGCCTCCCGCTGGATTCGTTTTGACCACACGCCCTGCACCATGGCACCGAACTTGTTGGCATCAACTGGCATGTTCATCGCTGCAAGGGAGGCAACACAAAGAGGCATAAAGACGGCTGAAGCTTGCTCCACATGTGCCAAGGTCTCCTGCGTCAAAGCACCTTCCACAAGCTCCGCCAGCCTCATTGCCAAATGTTCACCTTTCTGAGCACTGCTGAGCAAAACCGTCAAAAACGAGAGGCCGGGAACTTGAGCCAGAGCAGTCACAAGCCGCAGCACCAATTCAAAGCCAGAACCTCGGGCACCCAAGAAATCAAACATCTGTCGCAGGCATTGGGTAGCACGGTCCACCTTGTCCAAAGCCTTGGTGGTCAGGTTGCTTTCACTCTTCTTGTTCTTGGCTGCATTGAAGGCTTCCTGCATCTCTCTCAGGGAAGCCATGTGGCTCCGTGTGTCGAGTGAAAAGCCTTCGGTCAGCCCTTTGTTGGGCACTTTGACCTTGCTTGATAGGTGTCTCAGGATCAGCGTGCAATGGTTCGCAAACTCCACTGTCTGTCGAGCTGCCAGTACTGCTTGCAAACGGCGGCTAACTTCATTCAAGCCACCCTGGCCCTGGAAGACTGAGGTCACGGATTGAATTCCTTGGAGAAACCTGTCCACATCCTGTGGTGCAACCCCTGCCCAATGCCTTTCGATCGAACTCAGAATCTCTGACGGTAACCCAGCCTCTTCACCCCGCAACCCGGAGAGATCCTTCAAAAGTCTGGTCACTCCCCGGTGTAGAAAAAAGATGTTGTCCAACACGTTGAGTTCCTCACCTGTGCTTTTCAAGTCTTGCTCCACTTCCTGAAGCATCAATTGCATTGGTGGGTTCTGTTGTGAGCGCGCAAAATGAAGAGTCTCGATGGCCGCGAGCACAGAGGAAAAGCTGGCTTGCGGCACATCTGCGACTGTCAACTGCAGCCACTCATCTTCGAACTCTTCTACCCATGCGCTGTCATTGATTCGAGCTAAGCTCACTTCAAGTCCAAACACATTGGTCGAAGTGATGGAGGGTTGGCCCGTGCTGGCCTTCAGGAAGAGCAAATGCAGTTGCTTCGCAAACTGTCTAGCACGGGGAAGGAGTTGGGGCAAATCAGAAAGGACTGCACGCTCAAACTTCTGCATGAAATGCAGCTTGTTGATCATCTGCTCAAGCTTCGGTCGCACTTGTCCTTCTGGGATCTTCTCCTGCTCAAGCAAGTCTATGAAGTTGCGGCCTTCCCACGCAGCTAACTTTGGAGTCAACATGTCCTGCACCGTAAGCTCTTCGCTAAGAATGCTAGCCCTCAATGACTGCAAAGACTCTCGCAGTGCCGACTGAATCTGCCCTATGTTCGATTGATTTGGGCGCTTCGCAATTGCGATGACCTGCCGCCAAAGCTCTGGAGAAAGCAAAATCCAACTCATTCGCACAGGTCCCAAGCGTTCTTCTTTTAGGCCAGGGCCCCCCCCACGCATCCTGAAGGCGAGCCAACTCGGGAGCTGGGGCAATCGAAGATTCATCGGACACGAGACAAACACGAGACACTACAAAGCACAGAACCACCTCCACAAAGTTCCCATGCTTGTGTTCATCCGCTTGGACTAGAAGATGATGCCATTGCTCTGCTCTTGTTCGCATGTCTCTGATTTCTTCCATCTGATGCAACGAATGGTGCAATTGCAAAACAGAAAATGCAAGGCATGCCTCTTCTTGGAACTCGTCACCGAATGTTTGCAGGATTGAAGTGGCATCAAGTTGCCGCTGAAAGCTCCACAGCCGCTCAAAGGTGGCTCTCTGGAGCACTGCCGAGCCGCGAAGGCTGTACAAAACTTTGATCGCCTGTTTGATGAAGCTTGCAGCCACCTTGGTCTGCCCACACAGTCGGGCAGCAAAGTGGGCGATGCTGGCCACCCACCGATCATTGGTCACCTCGGCTTGGGGCTTAAGGTGGTGACCGCAAAGGAGCTGTGTCTTTAGCCGCTCATGACCACCCGTCCATTGCCCGAAATCGAAAGTGCTTTGGTTCGAGCTGCCTTTGCAAGTTCTAGCCTTCAAGCCTCAAACCTTTCAAGTTCTTGTGGATTGTGTGGTGTGTAGGGAGTTGTGGTTGGCCAAGTCTGGCATGTTGCACGCTTACGGCCGCGCAAAGCTCCTGCTAAATTAAATAGTCAGCGCTGCTGTCAGTCAATGTCAAACATCGGTCACCTTTGCAAGAAGCCTTACTATGGTTGCCAACCTCAAGCCCACTTCGCCCTTTGGCTACGAAGTACTAGAACATGCATAGGGAACAGGGATGGCACCTTTGGCAAACAATGCTTAATTAACCAGTGGCCTTCAATCGAACAGTGTTCGACTCGGGAGGCAGGAACGAACACGAGAAAAAACTAACCCGCGCTACTTTCACTCATCTACACAACCTTGTCGCTAAGCTGCTTCCAATAAACCTATTCTTATGATATGTGTGTGTCCTTGTCGAGGGGGGGATCTAATTCTATCACGCAAAAGGGGCCATGGGGGGCTTTTGTGGTGATATATCAACTCGATTCTTTGCAACTGTCAATTCTGAGCCTCCCCGTGCAAATGAATCAGCAGACCTTCTTCAGACTTCAGAGCTCGCTTGCGTAAAGTGTGAAAGCGCGGAGTTCTTTTGGACCATCAAAGCGGTCTGCGGTGTGTGTGGTAAACTTCTCGATTGTGCATGTCTTTGACATGGCATGATGAGTGCATGTCACCTCAACTCGCACTCCCCCTTCGGGCTTTGAGTGCTCTCAATCAAAGGCCGATTCATCGGGCCTTGGGTCCATGAATTGGACATTCGTCCATGAGCTGGTACATGATTCTCGCCAGCTCATGGCTCATGGTCTCCAGACCTTGTCGCATGGTACCACGTGGCCTCAATTTTGGCCAGCTCCTGTCTGGCCTTCAGATCCGCCCTGTTGTAGGGCCTATTGAATCAGGGATCTCGACGGGTTCTGGTTGCCAAGCATCCGGATGATCTCTTGGTTCTTCAGGTGTAGTGGTGCTCTCCATCTCCTCATCCTCATCATCACCTGGGTTCGGCCCTGGCTCGGGTGGAGGGCCTGGAGTCTGCACCACTTCTCGAGCAATCTCCAGATACTCAACGGGGACATCAACAACCTCCCCGTTGTCCAGCTGGATCGTTGCTGTGTCTCCACTCAGCATTCGATCCTCAACTTGTTCATTTTGATCTTCTCTTGGTGGTCCAGGATCATCCACTGAAAACCTGTTCGGGATCCTGCCCTCCTTGCTCTCGCCTTCGTTGATTCACCACATCCCATTGGACTTTGAGGTGTGGTCCTTCATGTCGTCGATTAACCTTCTCGATGTACTTCAAGGTGTCCCATTCTAAGCCGTCTCGGATTGAGCGGTCCTCCACAAAGCCTCCTCGATAGATCAAGGCTCGATGGATCCTCTGGGCATAGTCCATCTGCATCGACCACACCCTCTCTTGCTCCTCTAAGGCACTGTTGGTGTTGTACCTCTGCACTTCCAGTTCACTCTCTAAGATCACGATCTTATTCTCGAACGCCTTGAACTTCCTCCCCAACCACCATACCAGGAAGATCGCCGCAATGATCATGATCAGGTAGATATACTTGACCAACTAGCTTGCTCCTTCTGACAGGTCTGGTTCCACCCTAGCTCAAAAACGCTAACGAAGATCAGCCTCTTCAGATATTTTGTTATCTTCATCACTTTGCCCTTTTCGATGTGCTGCTCGCTGAACTGCTCAAACTCCCTCTGGCCAACTCAAGCTCCTTCTCCATCGCGAGCTTGTTGCCAGTAGAGTAGGAGTCTCAACTTGTTCTGGGATAGTGGCTTCGTCCCGATGTCTGCCAGGTTGCGAGCTGTCCCAAGCTGTCGAACTTCCAGTTCACCAGCTGCCACCTTGTCTTGACACCATAGCAGCTTGCCACTCACATGTCGCAGTTTCCCGGCACCACGTTTACATGCGATTTGTCGCGTGGCTGAATTGTCCACCCAGCAAATGTGGCGCACGTCATCTCCTGTCAAGAACTGCAGGCTGTGCTTCAGACAAATTCCATCACATGCTCCTGAAACAAGTGCATGGAGCTCACTTTCTGCAGATGACAGGCTGACTACCTTCTGCCCTCTTGAAGAGCAATGCACCACGATGCCATTGATGGTACGCACTGCTGATGAGGTGCTTCTTCTTGTGACTCGATTCCCACCCCAATCTGCATCCGTGTAGGTCTCCAGGAGCCAAGTGTACGGGCTGTGCATGTTCATCCCTTCTCCTCGCTGTGGCACAGGAAGCATCATCGATTGGTCCTCCGTGTCCTTGAGGTAACCCAAAAACTTCTTCATCTTCTGAATGGAGATCTCCGTCGGGCTGGACATGTTTGAAGCCAACTCCTTGATGCAAAATGCAATGTCGCATCTCTCCTGGGCCAAATAGATGCCATCAAAGTCCTGGATGCCACTTGTAGCCGGCAGCCCCTGTCGTTTAACCATTCCAAGTCTTCACCATGTTGGTTGCATAGCTGCCAGGCTTCACTGAAAGGCCTTCTGGGGCGTAAACATACTTTCTCTTCAGCAAGCAGAACTCCTCACCATAGTCTTTGACCATGTTTACTTCAATCTCAAACTCCTTCTTGATGTTCTGGATGAAGTCACTGATTGGCTTCTTCCTTCCGGTGAGCATGATGTCGTCAACGTGTATCAATACACACACCAGATCATCTCCAACTCCTCTCTTGCCCAAGCAGGGGTTGATGATGTCAAAGCTGAACCCTTGCTTCTCAATCAGATAGGTCCCCAGGTGTTCATACCAAGCCTTTGCTCCAATCCTCTGGCCAGGTAGATTACGCAGCACCTGGTACTCTCCAATGGCGGTAACAATGCGTAATGGCCTCTCCTGAAGGGACCTGCAGGAAAGCATCCTTCATGTCTAGTGCTCCAATTTTGCTGTGCTCAAAGTCCATCTCCGCGCTGGCTATCGCTGGCTGCCCTGCGGAAAAGCACAGGCAAAAGTCGTAGGGCACGTTGTCCACTTGCTGGGCTATACACATCATCTCTTTTGTCCAGTGCATAGTCCCTTGCTACCAATCTCGCCCTCCTCAACCATCTCTTGCGCTTGGTGTCACCCTTCTCCACATAGGTTTTTGATGCGCCAGTCGTAGACAAACCTTGTAGTGAGCACATCCAAATCCGCTTCTTGTGGCTTCAACTTCTCAATGACATCCATTCTCATCAACCTTTTCTCCTCTACTTTTCTCGCCACTTCATCCACTTCAGCTGAAGGTTGTGGTGGAGTGTTGGTCAAGGGATGATCGGACCATAGCTCTTCCGGGATTGCACCATGACGTCCTTGACATCCTCCTGGTCCTCCTCGATCATCAAGGTCTCCACATCCACTACCTCGTCCAGATGATAGAGGTCCTCTCCAGCAATATGAACGCGCTCCACCCTCCTCTCAATCATCGTTGCTCTTGAAGCGGATGAAGATTGGCCATTTCTTTCTGGCTCATCAATCCTTAGTCGCTTGCTCTCCGGCTCAACTTTCACTGCTGATGAAGGCGGTGGGAGCTTTCACAAAATTCTCCCTTCAGGAGGTACTTGTTGTTCTTCTTCCCGTGGGACCATGGGAGTGGTGGAATCACCATAATGAGAACATCTCCTCCTAAGCCCCTATCCTCAGACTTCACCAGGAGGTGGGGGTGTAGCAATTCCTGTATTGGGCTCGTCATTCTGCGGGGTACTTGGCATCTTGTAGTGCTCTTTCCTGCTGACCTCCTCCTGCTCAACACCTTCCTTCGACTGGGCATATCTTTTCACCTCCTCAGCGCCCTCGTCCTTGTGCTTGAAGAACATTGGCCGGCATTGCACCTGTCCTCAATGGAATACCCGCTCTTGGTGGGAATGATGCGTCCAGCGAAGTTGGTCGAAGTTGGTCTGGTACTCCCAGCTGGCAGTCTCAAAATTCTGGTAGTAGCTCAGGAATCCAGTCCAAGGTCGATTGACTTTCCTGATTAGCGTGATCTGGCTTCAATCGCCCACAATCCATGCATCTTGTCCATCAGTTTTCATCAGAAAGATGGACATCCTCCAGCGGGGATTCCCTTTTGTGGGCGAACATAGGCATACACCGCGCAACCAACGGGAACCACTGCTCCGTCGTAGGTCCTCCCATGTGCCAGCTCGTAGCTTGTCATGCCCTTGGTGGCCTGGTAGCGGTTCAACAGCCAGCACGCATGTCTGGCAGCCCAACTCCACAATGTGTGGTTTGCAAGACTCTGCAACATCTGACATCAGCGTGCATGCCAATCCTCGCACACGTTGGATAGCATTTTCAGCCAAACTGTTACCTGCAGAGCCACGGACCTTGGTGGTGTATAGTCTTGTCCTGAGCCCCATGGAGTGTCTGCTGTTCAGAACAATACGCAGCATTGACCCCATCGTCGGCTCATTGTCAGCGTATAGGCCCACTTCAACATGTCCAAGGCCCTGGATGAACGTCATGATCTCTTGGGCCATCAAGCTGAGCTGACCTTTTGACTTCAGCGGGTCTGAGCCCAGAGCACCCGTCTGGCTATCCACCACGATCAACCAACGCTGGTTTGAGCTCTTTGATACGCACCTCTTCAGCTTCCTTGGCCTCATCCTCTTCATAGAGATCAGGTTGGCCTCGGTCTATAGGTCATGGGTTCCTATCAATCTCTCCTCCTTTGCTGTAGCACAAGTCCAAGGAAATGATAGGAATGCCACTCAGCCTCGAAGCTCCTGTCCTGAGGCGGCGATCAGGTCTTCCTGTGTGCTTCAGGGCTGATACGGAACATGTGTGAGGCAATGCTTGTCCTGCTTTTTCTGCGATGGCACTTTGATACCTGGCCGTTTTCGAGGCTGGCGAGCTACCTGAAGTTGCGCTGCTGCCACCGCCTCTGCCGCCGCCTTGAGCTCCATCTCCTGCGTGTGGCTCACCAAGCGTTGGTAGCACTTCAAGCGGCTGCCTGATTGGCTCACGCCACAGAAATTGCACGCTGCTCTCAGTTGTCTCAGCGGGCTCACTGAAGTCAACTGGATTCCATTCACCATGATGTGGTCTGGCATTCTTGGCCCAAGAGCTAATCGTGCTTCTTGTTCAACTTCTCCTCCTGCCACCTCAATTCATCGTCTGGTGGCTCTTCAGCAGGAAGCTCCACGTTCTCCTCTGCAGCCACCTCGTGATCTCGAATAGCCATAGGCTGCTCATCCAGGTGTAGTCCAGTCTCCACCTCAAATCCCAAATCTTCAACACTCATGGTCTCGTCGGCGAGGATAGTGATCACCATGACATTCTCACCGGCCCCCTCAATCAATTACTCCTGATTGAAGACTCGATGCAAGTCCTCATGCATTTCCAGAAGCTGCCAACTCCCAGCAATCTTAGCCAGCGTTGTTCTCTTCCAGCTCACTGCTGATGGGGTGTCTCCCACATACTGCAGGTTCTGGAAGGACTTTTCCCAAATGGACTCCAACCCACTTGTCTTCAAACCTCGTCCAGCCCACCTGATACTTTGTCTTCTCCTCGAGCTCCTCCTTGAGCTTGGCCTCGAGCACTCGAAGCATGTGGGGCTCAGCTGAGATGGTCCTGACAGTTCCCTCAGGAACTAGGCTCTTGTTTTGCAGGCGTAGGGGAACCTTGATCTCTCTCTCTCCCCAGTGCCATAGACCAGAGAATGCTCTGCAATTCCCAGCCACTCTCCATCAGCCTCCCAGATGAAAGGATCGGCTGTGAAATGCCACTTGAGAAATGAGCCTTCCCGAAGACCTGGATTTTTTTGTCGTTCTCTGCCTCGAAAACAAAGCAGACGCTCTTGTGGGCGTCCTGCAGCATGGGTCCGTCCTCCTCTATCTCCACGCCAGCTGCAAGGAATGAGGTGGGGAGCACTGTAGCATCAGATCCTGAGTCCAACAACCCTGCTCCCATCTCTCACCATCATGATGTTCAAATCCTTCTCAACCTCCTCATCGGAGTTGCCATAGTCCAGGTGGTAGAACTGAATCATCCGCACCTGGCCATCATGCACATTGCCTCGTAGATCAAAGATCAAAGGCTCATCAAATTCCTATAAAACTGGGTTCACCTCCACGATCCTCTTCACAGCAGCTGTTTTTTGGTTGCCTGGCTTCCACTCGTTGAGGTCCAGGTCGATGAAGAGTCTCCCTGACTCTGCTGCTGCTGCTGCTGGGGTGAACCATCTGCAACCTGTCGTGCTCGCCAGGTGTCACGGGCAAGGTGTCCTGGTTTGCCGCATGTATAGCAGGTCTTGACAGATCCTCCTTCTCCTTTACCTTTCTGGCCCTTCTGTCCATCACCCTTGTTGTTGCCCTTCTGTTGGTTCTTGCCCTGGCCATAGTCCTGACCTTTTGGCTGGATCTTCCCTTTGCCTTTTGTATTCTTGGCATCACCTCTTCCTTTGCCCTAGGCGTCCTTGCCCTTGCCCTTGCTCTTCCCTTTGTCACCTTTCTGTGCAACGCGGTCGATCTCCATAGGTGCTGGGCCTCCTGACATCGTCGAACTCCACTTCAATGTAGCGTTGTCATACTGGATGATTGTCCTGACTTTCGGCCACATTA